CCAGGGGCCGTGGCTCATGTCTGTAATCCCAGTACTTTGGGAGGCTAAGGCAGGTGGACTGCCTGAGCTCAGGAGTTTGAGACCATGCCTGGGCAACATGGTGAAACTCCATCTCTACAAAAAATACAAAAATAACCAGGTGTGGTATCGTGCATCTGTAATCCCAACTACTTGAGGGGGTGAGGCGGGAGGATTGCTTGAGCCCGGGAAGTGGAGGCTGCAGTGAGCTGTGTTCACACCACTGCACTCCAGCCTGGGACAAAGTGAAGACTCTTGTCTCCAAAAACAACAACAATAAAAACAACAACAACAAAAATGAAAATAATAATAAAGAGACACAGAAATCTAGCCAAGCAGAATTATTTCGTCTTAGGAGTAACGGTGAGAGACAAGCCTAAGGTAGGGTTAGATCATGAAGAGACTTGAGTGCCATGTCATGAATTTTGGATTTTGTTCAGCAGGTGATGGGGAAACTACTGAAACGATGTGAACATCAAAGTCACATGATCAGGGTTAGGCTTCAAAAGACTCAACTCGCATGAGTGGGTAGAAAAGATCGGCAAAAAAGAAACTGGAAGCAGGAAAACCAGATGTTAGAATAGTCTAAGCAAAAGGTAATAAAGTCCTAAAGTAGGGCAGTGGCAGTGAAACTGGAACAGAAGCAATGACTACAAAAACCACTGCATACTATTAGAATACAGTCATACATTGCTTAATGAGGAGAATACATTCTGATAAATGCATCTTTGTGCAAACATCACACAGTATACTGACACAAACCGAGGCTATAAACCTGTACAGCATGTTGCTGTACTGAATACTGTCGCAACTGTAACACAATGGTGTTTGTGTATCTAAACACAGAAAAGGTATAGTAAAAATACAATATTATAATCTTATGGGGTCATCAAATAGGCAGTCCTTCACCTCACAAAATTATAGCCAGATGAGGCAAACAGCCATTTTCCACTTTAAAGAGAAAAAGGGGCTCACATAGGTATTTACCAGTCATGAAAAATAGGAGTACGATGTACAAATACTTTTGTTCGATATCTTACTATATTATGCATTCAACAATTTTTTTTTTTTTTTAGTCCCAAGCATTGTGCAAGGCTATCTGGTAGCAAACAAAAGGAATTATTTTATTCATTGAGCTTAGAGATATGGAAATTACACTATAGCAAATCTTTATGAACATTCCTACACTAATATGCAAATAACTTGTTCCCTAAAATAAATTTTTGAGCTGGTTATTCATGCCTGTAATCCCAACATTTTTGGAGGCCAAGGGAGGAGGATGGCTTGAGGCCAGGAGTTTGAGGCTGTAGTGAGCTATGAGAGCTATAACCACCACTGCACTCCAGCATGGGCAATAGAGCAAGACCGTCTCAAAAAAAAAAAAAAAAAGTGACAATTTTCTTTGATATTAATCCTAATTATGTGCTTCCGGAATTCAAAGCCAATTGTTACAGACCAGTTTTCGCAGACTTCACTTCAATCTAAGTCATTACTCAGATTAAAAATCAAGTGAAAAAATACTTATTGAGTGCCCCCATTCAATACAGACTTTGAGGTAGATGTCATGAAAAATACATATAATTATTTCCAAAAATGCCAAGAATGGGGTAGGGCGGAAAAGAAAAAATGCCAAGAACTGAGCCCAGTAAAAAGTGCCCCCCTCCCCCACTTTCAATTAGGGAACAAACTGTAATTCATACCCTAAAAGATCTATGGCATGATTTTATTAGGGGATAAAAAACAAATTGATAAAATAATTTCAGAAATTGCTTATAAACAGGTTGAGGTAAATACAGATTTAGCCACTATTTACTTTACAAATGAAAAATTTGAAAACAGGAGCAGCAAAATTTGGAATGATTTAAGAAAAACCTAAAAATAATGGAATGAAAAGATCAGAGATCAGGAATCTACAAGCTTTTTTTTTTTTTTTTTTTTTTTTTTAAAAGACAGAGTCTTGCTGTGTTCCCCAGGATGGAGTGCAGTCACCTGATCATAGCTCACTACAGCATCAAACTCCTGGACTCAAGCGATCCTCCCACCAGTGCCTCCCAAAGTGCTGGAATTACAAGCATAAGCCACTGCGCCTGGCCCAAGCATTTCCACAAGCATTCAAGGTGACTCTCAATCCAAGTAGCCAAGGATAACACTTTGAAGAATCCTGCAGTGTTTTAACTCAACTAAGATTTTCAATTTGTAAACAAGATACACTGAATAGAGCAAGGTGAAATGCCTTACTCAATTTTAGAGTTTCCCATTCCTGTCAGGCTGACAGAGTTGTCTTCTTTCAATCCTGAGCTTTTATTGTTTCTCAGGCCTCTCACATTATCTTGCTCTTACTGCCCTCCCTTCCCCCCGTTTTTAGACAGGGTCTCGAATTGGCTCACTGCAGCCTCCACCTCCTGGCTCAAGCAATCCTCCAACCTCAGCCTCCAGAATAGCTGGGACTACATGTGCGCACCACCGCACTGGGATAATTTTTAAAATTTTTTGTAGAGATGAGGTCTCACTATATTGCCCAGGTTGTTCTCGAATTCCTGGGCACTCCTACCCACTTTCAAAGTCAGCTTCTGTGATAAGGCCTTTCATGCCCACCTGGGTTCACATCTAGTTGTATCATTAACTTAAGTATATATTTTTCCACAACTGAAACAAAAAGCTCCCTGGGGAGAAACCGAGCTTTTACATTTGTATCCCCACCACAGAGAGATATGCCAATATTGTATTCCTTTTTACCACCTTCAATTTGTAAGTAGTATCTTGCTTTTCTTCAATACTTAGCTCAGTTAAAGGTATCTAATGAGTACTAAATAAATGGCAGCTTGTACTTCTTTGCCCTGTAAAGCTGCCATTTTTTTAACTGTGGGTCATGACTCACAGTCAAATGTGAAATGAATTTAGTGGGTCATGAACATTAAAGAAAAACACAACAGTTTTATGTGTGTAATGTAAAATGTATTTCTTACTGTGGGTTTCAGTCACAAAAGCTTGAAGTCCCAATTTTGTAAATGTTAAACTTCTCGAATACATCTTCAGTATTTGGTAAACAAGGATATTTTCTCACCCAATTAACATTCAGCCATACAGTCTTCCCATTCTCCACTCCTCAAAGCTAACGCTAGGTTTACTTATTTACTCCCCACTTCCTTAACTCGGATGAAAAGGAAGGGGTAAGTCCTAAGTCTACCGAGCATTCTTCACAGTACTGTATAAGCATTCACTGGAGTCTGTATTCCTTCAGATGAGTCATTTGAGTGTTATAATGCACTTCGGATGGGTTCTTGGAGCACCCATCTCTCTCAACTCAAGTTTATCTGAAATTCTAGATGTCCCAAATAGGGTTTTGAAATTTTCACAATGCGCTTCATCCACATGGGTTTGTGCTGAATGTGTTTCTTTCAAGATCACCTTCTTTCCTTACCTTGGAGCAAGGTTCTCTATTTTCACCATAACATTACTTTGATAATTGATAATTCTTGATAGTCTCCACAAATGTTTAAATTATTAATGTTCCAAACCAGTTCTATTTTCTCCTCTCCTAACGTATGGTAGTATTTACATTGACAAAGTTGTGCCTTTTCCAGGTTTCATATGTATCTTGCATCTTCTTAATCAGCAGGCAAAACGTGAAGGCTTATCCAGGCCTCATAATGCACTAACTGTGACCTGTCACATCTGTAATCTAGAGATTAGAGTTTGTTACCAACAAAACTCTTGTTAGTTAGAACTCAAACCCCATTTCCTCCAACAACTTTCCTCAAGCCCTCCAGTGAAATGTCTCCTACCCTCCAAACCTAACACTCAGTTCAAACCTCTTTAACACCTATCAGTCTATGCAAAATTCTAATTAGCTATGAATATGTCTCCCAGATTGACTCTATGTGTATACCTTGCACTGCCCTCCAAACACCAGAGTGCAAATTTCACATAGTAGGGCCTTCGTACTGGCTTACTGAACTGTACTGAAAAGGCGAAGAACTTAATTCGGTGGATATAAAAGTAGGTTAGGTGCTGTTTCTAACTGCATACCCTCCATAATTTCAATTTGCTCAAATGTAAAATATTTTTAAAAATACATAAAACTATTAAAGATATAATGGGAGAACCATGGGAATGGCAATAAAGAATGTAAACGTACAACACGAAGGCCTAAGACAGATGTGATGCCCTCTGCGACTTCCACACGTGGCCCAGCAAATCGGTGCCTGAATTCCTCTCTCGGCTTTCACCATTCTGCCCTGTCATCTCCCTTTACTCTGTTTCACAAATCTACCACACCACAGAGTGTGCAACAGACTCGTTCGTTGAACTCGCCTTAGCTCTTTCTCATAGGACCATACACCTCAAAGCGTATTAGGTAACCGACCCCTTCTTGCCTTGCTCCCGTTCCGGCCTCTGTTGGCCATATGTGCCAGAACAAGAGTGGGCAACCATTTCCCTTTAACAGTCCCAACTAAAATGGAAGCGCGTCTAGACCTGGACACCTTTAATCCTGTGTAAGCCCCAGAATTTCTAGGTCACCGTACTTCCTCCACTGGCTACTGTCTCAATGTGACTTGAGACAGACATCTGTCTTCCGAGCGCAGGCTTTCCACAACTTCCCAACACCACCTTAAGGTCCCATGACGCTCCACATGCAGCCTCCTCTGCAGGCCTCAAGGAAGGATGCTGTGCTATTCTAGCAGTCAAGGTTTCCAAAGATGGCTTGACCTCTGGGCGCCTATCTGAATGGACCCCTTAGACCTCCTAACTTCTTTCCTCGAAACTGGGCTTCCCCACCCATCCTATACTTCCTGAGTTTCCCCCACTCCCCAAATAACATGACCCCCTAATCACCGCCTGCTCCACTTGGGAGAGCTGCCCCTCGGCTTTGGACTAAGCACTCTTTTCCCTTGACGGCTGGGGCGCGGCCTCCCCCCCAGCTCGAGGGTCTCCACGTCCGCCCTTCGCCCGTTCTCTACCGCCGCTCATCCCATACTCACTTTGGGCTTCTCGGACAGTTTCTTCCGGTTCTTCTTCTTCTGTTCCTCGCTCCGGAGATTCTTCAGCAAGGCCAGGTCGTCGGGGGCCGCAGCCGGCGCAGCCGCCGCCTCCTCCCGCTTGCGGGGCGGGCTCCTCCGCTTTTTGCGGGCGCCGGCGCAAGCCGCGGCCCAGCCGTAGCCCAGCAGAAACAGCAGCAGCAGCCCGAGCGCGCCCGTGCCCACCAGGATCACCCAGCCAGGGTACCGTTTCGGCTCCAGCCCCAGGTCGAGGCCCAGCTCGGTGCGCAGAAAGCCTAGGCCGACCGAGAGCATTTCCCGCAGCCGGGCCGAGCCCTCCTCGGCCTGCTGGGCCAGCTCGTCCTGCCAGCTCCGTGCAGCCATCTTCCCTCCCGTCAGAGGGACTCGCAGGATGACGCCGGGGCGCGGAGACGCCGTGGAATAGTCAAGGGAAGCGAGGAAGGGCCGGGCCGGGTAGCCTCAGGCCGAGCGCATCGCGGCCGTCCCTCGCGTT